TGGAGAGTCTCCACTTGCCATACTCTTTTTTTTTTCAGATTTGCCAAGGTATAATTTACAAACCATAGGTTTCACTTATTGTAAGTATACAGTTTGGTGACTTTTAATAAACTCATACAGCTGTGCAGCCATCACCCTTCTATCGCCCCGAGAAGTCCCCTGTCCCTCCCATTTGTGGTCACTCCCTTTTCCTTCCCCAGCTCCAGGCAGTCCCTGTGTATTTTCTGGGTCTACAGTTTTTGCTTTTCCTACAGATGTCACAGAAATGGGATCATACAGTTGATAGTCTTTTGTGTCTAGTTCTCTCATATCGTCGTTAGGGGCCGTCGAGTCAGTTCCGACTCGTGGTGACCCTACATACAACAGAATGAAATACTGTCCAGTCCTCGGCACCCTCACGATCATTGCTATATTTGAGCCCACTGTTGCAGCCACTGTGTCAGTCCATCTCATTGAGGGTCTTCCTCTTGTTCACTGACCTTCTACTTTACCGAGCCTGATGTCCTTCTCCAGGATAGTATGTCCAAAGTAAGTGAGACAAAGTCTCACCATCCTCGCTTCTAAGGAGCATTCTGGCTGTATCTCTTCTCTCATATAGGGTACTTTTTTTGAGGTTCAACCATGTCATTACTCATATCAGTAATATCCCTTTACATTGTATGGCTAGGCCACATTTTGCTTATCCATTCACCAGCTGATGGACTTTTGGGTTGTTTCAGTGTTGGGCTATTGTGAATAATGCTGCTGTGAACGTTCACGAATTAGCCTTTGTGTTGACATACGTTTTTATTTCTCCTTTACATATACCCAGGAGTGGAATTGCATGGGTGTGTGGTAGGTGTATGTTTAACTTTTAAAGAAATTGCCAAGCTATTTTCCAAGGTGGCTGTAACCATTTTACATTCCCACCAGCGGTGCGTGAACGTTCCAGCCTCTCCACATCCTTGTCACATTTTAGTGGCTTGTAGCGACATCTCATTGTGGTTTTAATTTGCATTTCCCTAAGGTCGAATGGTGTTGAACATCTTTTCAAGTATTTAACCGTTTGTCTATCTTCTTTGGTGAAATATTTATTCTTTATATTTTAAAAAATATAAAAGTTCTTTATATTTTTTTAGATACCAGTTCTTTATCAGATATAGAAATTACAAATATTTTCTCTCAGCTTATCTTTTCATTTTCTTAATGACATCTTTTGAAGGGTGTACATTTTTTGTTTTTTTTGATGAAGTCCAATTTATCGAATTTTTCTTTTACGGAATATGCTTTTGGTGTCGTATCTAAAAATTCTTTGCCTAATCCAAGGCCACACACCTTCTTTCTTTTTCCCCCAGTGTTTTCTTCTTGGAGTTTCATAATTTTAGCTCTTACATCTAGTTCTAGGATCCATTTTGAGTTGATTTTGCGTGGCCACATGTTTTGAACCCTCCTCTTGACAGATAGGGAAACCTAAGCAAAGGGTTTTAGCTCAGCTTCCCAGCAAACGAATGGTAGAGCTGAAGGAGATACTTGTCAGGGTCCCCTCCAGCTTTAAGACTGCGTGCTCATGGTCCCTAACCTCGCCTGTTTAAGTCCTTCCTGACGTCTGAGCCGGATCTTTCTTACCAGCTCAGTCCACCTTCTCTGTTCCTTGACTCCGTGGAAGCACGGTTGTTTAGCATGATCCCATCCGTATTTCTTCCAGGGCTTCGAACTGGTTCTTCCGGGTCGAACCCCTGCTGAGAATTTGCATTTCCAGCCCAGATATACTGAATCAGAATCTATTTTAACAAGATCCCCAGGTGATTCTTACACATGATAAATTTTCAGAACCACTGCTCTACTCGTGGTTAAGAACTACGGCTGCTAACCAAGACGGTCAGCAGTTCAAATCCACCAGCCACTCCTTGGAAGCTGTATGGGGCAGTTCTACTCTGTTTTATAGGGTCGCTATGAGTCGGAATTGACTAGATGGCAACTGGTTTGCTCTACTAGTGGTTCTCAGAATTGATCCCTAACAAGCAGCATTAGCATCGTCTGGGAACTTGTTAGATATGCAAATTCTCAGCCCGGGTTTAAACCAGAAAGAACCCTTTCAAAATTTTCTTCTTCTAGCTGGATAGATTAGGTTCTTTTCCTCCCAAGGGCTCTCTCTGCCCCTCCCAGCCCCGGCACTGCTTCTTGACACATGTGCTGTACGTGGCACGTGCCACTTAACATTCGAACATTACAGCTTTGAAAGCAAGGGCAGGCTGGAAACATACAGTTTTTCCCAGAGGACGCTGCAGGGAAAACAGCTGCTGACTTCCATTCCAATTTGTCAAACAAGACAGCTGGGATTGTCAGGCTCTGTAATTCCCCGGGCTCACTTGGGCAGCAGGAGGGCCAGGGCGGAGGTACTGGTGAGGAAGAATGGGCCAGGAAAACCCAGGAAGCATACTTTCACTAATTTGCACGTGTAAAGAGCTGGTGGTTAACCCCGCTGTTGTACTTGTGGCCCAGCTGTAATATCTGTTCTTTCCATCTGATCCTGAATAGCCCATTTCAGCAATTATCTTTCTCTTGACAAAGCAAAATTTTAAGTTCTATTCAAGTGGTGTTGTTTTGGCTGCAGGGAGTTGGAGGTAACCTAGGTGTCCCTCTCTCAAACTAAAAACCAAATCCATTGCCGTTGAGTCAATTCCAACTCAGAGCAACTCTATAGGACAGAGTAGAACTGCCCCATAGGGTTTCCAAGGAGCAGCTGGTGGATTTGAACTGCTGACCTTTTGGTTAGCAGCCAAGCTCTTAACTACTGCACTACCAGGACTCCGTACCTCTCTAGGGGAATGGAAAAGTAAAATCTGATGTAAGGATGCTACAGAATATTCTGCAGGAGACAGATGCATCAAACCAGGTGTGCACATAGACGGTGTCTTAGTTATCTAGTGCTACTATAATAGAAATACCACAAGTGGATGGCTTTAACAAAGAGAAATTTATTATCTCACAGTCTAGTAGGCTAGAAGTCCGAATTCCGGACATCAGCTCCAGGGGAAGGCTTTCTGTTTCTGTCAGCTCTGGGGGAAGGTCGTTGTCATCAATGTTCTCCTGGTCTAGGAGCCTCTCCATGCAAGAACTTGAGGTCCAAAGGACGAGCTCTGCTCCCGGGACTGCTTTCTTGGTGGTATGAGGTCTCCATTCTCTGCTTGCTTCTCTCTCCTTTTATCTCTTGTAAGATAAAGGGTGATGCAGGCCACGCCCCAGGGAAACTCCCTTTACGTTGGATCAGGGATGTGATCTGAGTAAGGGTGTTACATCCCACTCTAATCTTCTTTAACATAACCCAATCTTGCCTTGTTAACCACAGACAGAGATTAGGATTTACAACACATAAGACAATTACATCAATCACAAAATGGAGGACAACCACACAATACTGGGAATCATGGCCTAACCAAGTTGACACATATTTTGGAGGACACAATTCAATCCATAACACATGGCAACACGGAAAGACTTTGAATTCATAGAGCTGAATTATGTTAATCAAAAACACCCCCACCCCCAAACAACACTACATATTTTACAAGTATACGTACTTGTATGCAGGCCATCTATCAAGCACGCAACAATGGATCTCTAGTGTGGAGAGGGAAACTGGAGTGGGGCTCATGTTAGTTTTCTGTGTCTGCTATAAAAAATTACCACAAACTGAGTGGCTTAAAACAACAGAAATTTATTCTCTCACAGTTCTGGAGGCCAGAAGTCTGAAATCAGTAGCATTGGACTGAAATCAACGTGTCAGTAGGGCTGTGCTCCGTCTGGAGACTCTAGGGGAGAAACTCTTCCTTGCCTCTTCCAGTTGTTGGTGGCTACCAACATTTCTTGGCTTGTGGGTGCATCACTCCAATCTTCAAGACTAGCACTTCTAACTCCCTCGGCTCCATCTTCATATTTCTTTCTCTGTGTGTTGTCAAATCTCCCTCTGTGTTCCTCTTATAAGGATATATGTGATTGCATTTAGATAATCTAGGATAATCTCCCATCTCAAGATCCTTACTTAATTACATCTGCAAAGACCCGTTTTACCATATACAGTAATATTCGTAGATTCTAGGGATTAAGATTAAATCTAGGGACTAAGGTGTGCCTGACCCAAGCCATGGTGTTTTCAATCACCCCATATGCATGTGAAAGCTGGACATTGAATAAAGAAGCCCAAAGAAGAATGGATACTTTTGAATTACGGTGTTGGCAAAGAATATTGAATATACCTTGGACTGCCAGAAGAATGAACAAATCTGTCTTGGAAGAAGTACCGCCAGAATGCTTCTTAGAAGCAAGGATGGTGAGACTTTGTCTCACATACTTTGGACATGTTACTTTACAATTCTGATGGTTGGAAATCCAATATAGTCTCATTGGACTAAAATAAAGATGGCGGCAGGGCTGTGTTCCCTTCTGGGGGCTCTGGGAGAGAATCGTTTCCTTGCCTTTTCTAGTGTCTAGAAGCCACCAGCATTCCTTTCTTGTGGCCCCTTTCCTCTGTCTCCAAAGCCAGTGACAGTGGGTCCAGTCCTTATCACATTGCATCTCTGACCTCCTCTTCTGCTTCCTCTTCCACTTTCAGTGCTTACATTGGGCTCATCTAGGTAATTTCCCTATTTTAAGGCCAGCTGATTAGCAACCTTAATTCTATCTGCAGTCTTCATTCTCGTGTGTCATGTAAGATAACATAGTCACAGATTCCAGGGATTAGGACATAGACATCTTGGGTTCCCTATCACCGGCTTTCCTGTCCCCTTCTGCCTTCTAGTTGTTTTCTTTTTTTTAATGTGATAAAATACATTTATTAGTGATGATACAATAGGAATTGTAAGAAAAACATAATGAAAAGTCTTTTATTTTAGAATTACAAGTTACAATTCCTAATTGATTCACCCTGTAACACAAACTACAAACTCTCTATTATCATTAGTGACAGAAGTAAAAGAACAAAATTGTTGAAAAAACAAAATTATAACTCTTAAAATTATCCTATGTAAAAATTAAACAGGGATTATATTATACAGCATCTTAAAGACATTACATAATTACAGAGAGAAAAGCTAACAAGATACAAATCAGGCTTTCAAGGAGCTCACCATTCATCCGTGCTTACATAGATTGTAAGAAAATTTGAAGTAGATCCAAGAGAGAAATAAGGCCTAAGCTTTTCTGTGAAGGCATCAGTAAAGGTATAAAGATAAGATCTATTATTCCAGTTATAAAATGAAACCTCTCCCAAATCATAATCCAGAAAAACTCCAATCCGGGTGACTTGTTCTGTATCCCAAGTCTCGTGAATAAGAGTTGCCTGATGAATTTGCCAGCAGCCATCTTTTTCGGATGGTGACATAATCACATTTCTAGCAAAAGATTCTTTACATACACCTAAGCACCATTCACCTATGCCTCTTACTTCTACCTGCCAGTAATGCCTACCAACATCAAAGCCTTCAGAACCCAGGACAGCTGGGATAAAAGTAAACCTCTTGGGATTGTAAGGAAAGTCTGATTTCATCTGTCCGTATTTCACACTTTTTCTGTCTTCTGAAATAATAAGTTTAGGGTGAGCAGTTTCAGGATCTAGTGTCAAATCTTCCTTAAACGTGCTGATCATTTTTTGCAGGCCAAAATATAGTGGAGAGAGATAGCAACTCTCCTTCTTTAATTCATATGAAAATACTCTCGGAGTTTTTAGGTTTTTATACCTTTTGTAGATACTTTCAATACCTATAAGTAGATCCAGGTCTGCCTGCACACATTTTTCTGCAACTTCACTAAGCAGATTTTTTAGCATGGAGAAGTGGTCAGAAATTTGGCTATAGTTCTCAATTAGTTTTTCTTCAACATTCTTCTGTTCTGTCATTAATTCCAAAACAATGACGTCCTGTTTCTGGTCCAGTAAATCCTTGAGTTGATTAAATTCACAGTTTAATTCTCTTCTCAAATCTTTCACCTTCTGCCTCAGTTCAAATGATTTTGAGCCTTGCATTTCTAGCCCATTTTCAGCGTTCTCAAACTGCTCCCTCAGGTTCTCAATGTACCTTTTGAGCCTCTTCCTGTGACTAGTTCCAGCTTGCTCGATGGGCATCAGGTAGTGATCCTGGTGGTTGGAGGAGATCCTGCACTGGGGACACAGCAGCTCCAGGTCCTGTTCACAGAACAGGACCAGCACCTGGCTGTGCTTCTCACACAGGGCTTCTTCTTCTTGCCGTTTCCTCTTGCTCCTCTTGAAGGGAAGTTGCTTAACAATATCAGTCATGTGACATAACTGGGTGTTCTTCTTTAGGTTCCCATTAGAGCAGTGATGGAGGCAGATGGGACAGGGGAAGATGTCCTCTAGACCTTCCCAGCACTGGTGGATGCAGCGGTGACAGAAGTTGTGGCCACAGTCAATGGTCACTGGCTCTGTCAGGTACTCCAGGCAGATGGGGCAGCTGGCCTCTGCTTGGAGATCGGCCAGGGAGGCTGCCAAGTCCATTGTGCAGTTTCAGTTTGAGGAAACTCTTCAGAAAAGCCTGGTTACCAAGAAGCTAGGAAAAATGAGAAGACGACCTCGGTCCTCACTCTCCTACATGGTAGTCAGTATGGTGTGTTTCTGTCTCTTTCCTCCAATTCCACAGGAAGCTTCCAAGAGCCACAGCTCTCCAGAAAATTACTGATCTTCTTATTATCTTCTCCGGTATCCACTGGTCCTCCAAATCATAGGTTGGACTTGGAGTCCTCTTGGTCAGGAAGGAAACACAATTCCAAGGCATTTGCAGTTGTGGAGGCTGGAAAGTCCCAAATCTGTGGGTCAGGCATCAGGCTGGAGGGCTTTTCTGATTCACGTAGTTTCAGGGGCTGATGAATCCAAAATCAGCAGGTCAGATGGCAGGATGTTGGCTCACATCCCAAGAACTGGAGGTCAGATGATGAGGAGTCAGATGCAGAATCTAGAGTGAGAGCTAGCCTTGCTGGAGCATCCCTTTATATACTAGAGGCAGGCCACACCCCCAAGGAAACTCCCTTACATATGCTAGTCTGCTCATAGCAGATCTCATCATGGAGGTGATTGCATTATATCTTAGCTAATCATGGAAGTGATTACACTGTATCAGATCTTACTGTGGAGGTGATTACATTATATC